AAAAAAAAAGAGATTATTGTTTATGTCAAGATATCTGAACTGAGTATTTTTACTTGTCATACTAAAAGTAGAAGGAAATGTCTATCTCTGACAATAAATTCAATTAAAAAAAGACGTTTTCTATTAATATTTGGTCAATTTTCTCTTCTTTCTTTCTTCATATTTTATTCTAAAGAATAAAGTTTGTGCAAATAAGGAATCAAATTTAAGTTAAATAAATTAATAAAAATTAAAATAAAATAATAACATTTCAAAAAATGAATATGTCTTTCTTTGATATAAAGAACAAAAATTTTCTGTGTATATTTTCATTCTAATGTTGCTATGATGTTTAACATTAGATATTAGAATGAGGGAAGAAGACATATAGTCTATAGAGACCTGCACCGGAGTCGTTCAGGAATCATTATCGGAGCCAATTAAATTTCCTGTCAAGAATTCATTTTTAACATTAGAAATTTTTTACGTTCGTATATACCTGATGAAGACAATATTGTTTATTGAAACATCAAAATTTTATTTCAAGTTTTACTAACTTATCTAACGAAAGAAGTTATTTGTTTCATTTGTTAAAAGTATTCTGGGGGTGTGAGTGTCAGTATAACCAAAAGAAGATCCACACCCACACTTTTTAAAGAACCGAGAATCTACCATAAAAGCTTCCTACGTAGCCTTGATTATTATCACTTTCGAATCATATCTACAAGATAGAGTAGATGAGTATGTTTTATTTGTTTACAGATAAAACAAAGGAAAAATGAATATAATAATAATAATAAATGAAAAAGCAGAAGAAAAAGATGAATACCGAAGAGAAAACAACAACAACAGAGATCAGAAGTAGCATCCGTCACCTATGACTGTGAGATCCGAGAGAAAATCAAAGAGAAATCAATAATATACGATCAGAATCATCTATTGACGCTAATACTATAATCGATTAGAAGATGGTCTATTGATGTAGATCACGTTGCCTATTCCCTAAGTTGTTTGTGCACACCGGCAGGAAGAACACCTGAGCCAAATATTTTAGCCATGATTAGATCGGCTAACCAACTTGGAACCATCGAGAGTGGAAAAAGGATTAGACTCGATTGATAACCCGGCCGATAACGAATACGCGGAACTGTATTCATGACAGCATGTTGAAGTGCTTGCATTACTTTGTTAGGATTTTCGGCATTTCGAACGAATATATTGGCAGTTGCTTGCTTCATTTCGGCATTGAAAAATTCTTCGCCCCACCGGTTTTTAGCATCAACCGAAAGGTTAGTCCATAGATTTTCTATGAAAGCATCGTGTCCTTGGATCATGGGCGTTCGCATGAAACCTGGTTCGATGATGCTCACATGTAGCCCCCATATGGTCATTTCACGACGAAGACAATCAGAAAACGATTCAAGAGCATATTTAGAGGTACAATAAGCAGACCTAGCTGATCCACTTATGAAGCCATACATTGAACTGATATTGACAACGCGTGAATTCCGTTTGGCTATAAGCAATGGCAGAAACTTCTTGGTCATTGCAACATGACCAAAAAAGTTGACATCCATAATTGTGCGCATAAGATCAACGGTAATCCAGTCGATGTATCCCCTTCTACTTATACCAGCGTTGTTGACAAGCGCATGAAGAGTATTCGTTTTGTTTTTAATCATGTCGTACGCAGCATCGATTTCTTCTTGACGAGTAATGTCAAGACGAAAGACAGTAGCTCGTGACGAAAGTTCATTGGTGAGTGAAACTTTATTGTCGACATTGTATATACCAGCAAGTACGTTAAAACCTTGTTTATCAAGTTCAATAGCCCATGTATGACCAAAGCCTGTGTCACATCCACTAATGAGGACATATTTGCCACGTGGATCAATGTTAGGCGATGGACAAAAATGCTGATACAATCGATAAGTTACATAGAGAATGAACGCCAAGCAAATAACTATACATATAATCATCATTCTACGTGAGCAGAAAACAGCAGTAAATAAGAAACATGTGAGCGCAACTTTCGTATTATTTACCTGAGGTTGCTCGTTGTCAATAAGACTGTATCAAAATGAGAAGTGTAATGGCGAAAAGGAAGACGATATATATATATAAGAGCGACTAGTATTCCTTTTTCGTTCTCTTCTTTTTCATCCTTTTCTCCATCTGTCGTGTGCATACACGTTCTTTCTCTTGCACTTCAGCACAATCCCGATAGTAAAAAAAAAGGTAGTTTTAGTGTGAAGAGAACGATTCACAATCAAATGAATGTAGTCAATACTCTAAGCATCAATAGAAAAGATACGAGGATGGAGAGAAATCAATATGAAAGAAGATGCCATCAACTAGTAATACAGAACAGATACTTTTCAAGTTCGACCTTTGTCTTGATTTTTTTCGTGTGTGAGATTTATCATACGCAATCATTCACATCGTCGTGCACATATAAAACTATTTTTAAGAATGAACCACGCGACAAATCTCCTATAGATAGACATAGAAAAAAGAAGTCTCCTGTAAAACTGCCACTGAAAAATGAATCTAAATATACATGAAGACAGACAGAACGTAGTGAAATTTCATTCTATCTAGATGAAAGCCAGAGTTTTCATCATTTCATTTCTTGTAAAGATCAGAATATAGTGTTTGACGTTTGTGCACAACTCTTTTTGATATGTCTCGACAAGAACTCCGCTGATATAAGACTAGGTGACCATGCAAACGTTAACGACTAGTCCAAAGTTGTGATTCCATGTTTGAAAAACTTAAAAAGTACATCAATGTTGTGCTAACATTCAAATGAATTTCTTCTGACATCTTGATCTATGTGATTACAAAATCAATATTAGTTTGAACAGTCTTCATATATACGAGAATGAATTACGCTGACAGAAGTTTTGCAACTAAGAAATAATGACATTATGTTTTCTTTTGGACACAAAACTCTCGCTTCATCCTTTCTAATTCATTTATCCGTTTTATTCATCCTCGTAATATGCATACCAGTAAACTCGATCGACTTCTATTCATAACAGTACAGTATATCGAAATCTTTTTTGTGATTATTTTGACCATACTTTTTTTTCTGCAATCATGCTTAATCACAATCCTCTCTCTCACTGCTTTGATCCGAAATACGATTTTCAGTCTGAAAATAAGTTCTTGTTTGCTGTCTGAAAAACTAACAGAATGCAGTAATGTTGACAACAGGTCTTCTTTCCTTGATAATATGACACAGATCAGCCTCAATTCCAAATACAACAACAATTTTACCAGAAAGCACTTCGTCAGCATCATTCTCATCGAATAATATCGTATCTTTGTCAATGCAGAGGGAATTGGCAAACTAGGTGATCTCGATTTGAGTCGTTTCGTCAGTTCGAAAACAATGTTGTTATATTCTGACAATAAGCAAACTGTAGTTTCAACTATACAAGAATGTAATTGGCATAGGTTTTAGTCTTCTCAACAAGTTATGGGTGTGGGTGTGGATGAAGATACTAACGTCTCACATCCTCGCTCTACATCCACACACACCCACTATACTCACCCACACACTCTCACCCTCAAGAGTGCAATTTACGTGTCAGTTGCAATTAGCTAAGAAAACACCGACATTATTTGAATTGGCGTTTGCGACAATAATATCGAGTTCACTGTCTCCATTGACATCGGTTGCTGCTACAAAATACGATCCAGCACCAGTTGAATAGGTTACTTGAGCAGCAAACGTGCCATTGCCGTTGTTGAGAAAAACACCGATGGTGTTTGAACCGTAGTTTGCGGTAATAATATCAAGTTTGCTGTCTCCATTGACATCGGCTGTTGCCACAGAACGCGGTTGACTGCCAATTGAATAGGTGACTTGTGTCGGAAATCTATTGCATGGAGCTATTGCGACACAAAAATTGTTATTAACATCGATATAATTATGAAAAACAATTGCCTTATCTAAGTATTGTTTACTTTAAAAAACGTTACCCCAGCTATTACATAGATGATGTGAGCGAACAGAAGAATGCTCACAGTCTTGAAAAATTTTATTTTGTTTCCCGCAAAGTTACACACTTTTTCTTATAGTCTATACAGTTCCCATGAGAAAACTACCACTCTACAAGCCTGACTAATTGACCACAGCTCTGTTTCCGATTAATGCATTCTTATCGTCGTTTAATCTTCCTCTGGTTTCATGATGTTGCTTTCAATTTTTTACTATTGGAACTAAACTGAATCTTATCTCAGATTGGATAAGATTAGCAAGCCATATGAGCCCCCTAATCGGTCGAATTCGCAAGTTTTTCCTTGGGTACAGTTAGTAGGATGATTGACAACATTGCTCTTGATAAAACATGATCAGAAAACTCTCGTGAAAAGAACTTTACTTGGATGATATGTGCATTTACGTAAGAGATGATTGATGATATACTTCACTCAACAGTGGGTACTTCAATGGAGCACTGTGAGAATGCCGTAATCAAATGACATTAGCCTCAAAAGAACCATTCTTCTTTTCACCCACAAGCACTCGCTCGTTCATTCATTATCGGATCCAGACAATAACGGTATTACGCTTGAGTCCATTCAAATAAACATTCAATGATTTGTTCGTCCTTTTCATATTCCAGAAACGATAAATTCCTATTCTATCTTTTTTTGAAAACTATAATGGACAATCTGCCACCTTACGAAAACTGGTCAATAATAAAGAAATCAATGAAGAAAGAAATGAGAAGAAGAAGAAGAAAATCGACAGCTTCTTCTATAGTCAAACTGTCGTGCGTCTTGACTGTATATCAGCTTCACTTGTTGAAGAGTTGTTCATCAATCTTCCAAGAACGAAGTAGGTGATTTAAGTCTGCAGGAAATCAAATTTGAGTCGCTAAAATCATCCAGAATCACTGCTTCCCTCTTGAACTTATTTTGATTATAGATATATCTCATATCGATCGTTAGAACTTCTTTACGAATGCAGTTGTACGAATATTCATGCACATACGTGAACAAAGATGCAAATGTTGCCTTATTTATTGTTGCTATTATTGTCGTTTGAGGGATGCCGATCAAGGCGACAAGCATTGCAGCAATTCCCATACCAAGAAGAAGAAGAACCAGTAGAGACACAATCAAACAGACAGGTGAACATTGGCAATGAATGTGTTTAAAATAGCTAAATGAAATATTTTTAAAAGTTAATAAGAAAAAATACAAAACAATTATTTACCATTTCTTTTTATTTCTGTTCGATGTTCGATGATGAGTATCCTGAAAATCTACTCCATTTGACCATAAGCCGGTTGCCTGAATCAATGTAAAAGATGTATATAGACAAAAGAAAAAGGATAGATAGTTTCATTTTGGTTTCACTTCTATCATCGAATCAAATAAAACTATTTGTAATAATACCTCAAATAGAAATGTGACCCATTGGAGCAAAAATATTTTTATATTTAACTAACAAAAATGAAAAGATCACCAAGACTAAGTCACTTTAATTTTTACCAATAAATACTTGTTGACCATTCGTTATATTTCTAAAATATATTCTCGAAATTCCTTCATTTTATTATCTGACTTTTGATCAATTTCTAACCTGTTTTCAAGGCAAGTGTTTTTGATGGAACTAGGAAAAGTTCAATTACAACATGGAAACTAATTAAGAAAAAGATTGTTGAACTCAGAAAAGTTCATTGAGACACGCATAGGTCAGAGCCCATGGGGTAATACCCGAAATGCGGATGAGGCAACATATCGTCCCATCCTTACTTCCCACAGGGTCAATTTTCGAAAATTCATTTCCCCACCTACGAAGTAAAAATATTCCTTACCCTATGATCTAAATGAACTTTTAATACTTATAAAATGACTTGAAAAAAACTAGATGACGACATTATAGAAATTGTCTTATTACTTTATTAACCATACAGCGTACTACTTGTCTTGTCTTGTCTAGACATTTTCTATTTCATTCTTCATCTTTCTTTTTCTCTGCCTTTCTTTCGTTTTTAAGTAGCTATATTGCGATGTTCTCTTCTTTCTTTTTTGTATATTTTTATATTTATCATTACTACTTTCTTTATCTGTTGCCCACTCTAACTCTTTTTCTTTACCTATTGTATCCATCTTTTCCTCATCGACTTATTTTACACTCGCAACACATACATAAACACAATCTTTCTGTCATAAGATGATATGTATTTCCGTGTTTTTGCGATGCACTCTGCATCTCTGTTTTATGGTTTTTCTTGACACATACACAACAACATCTATCAGCGTCGAGAGACAATTTTCCAGTACTAGTTTGGTTTGTACTGAATGAAGAAAAACGGAACCCATGGATGAGTTAAACCAAATTTGCGAAAACCTAGTCTCTCCATGAGTGAGAATACCCATTTTTTCAAAAACTGACTTTTGGGACACCCCATCCATATGGTGACGAAAAAAGTCATGCCGTCATATCTGGTTGAAATACATATAACATGATATTATTTTCTTGTGTTTTGAAGCCTCATTTAGTACTTCCCATTTGAAATATATTTTTTTCAATATAGACGCTATGTAAACGAAGATATTTTCAGTTTGTTTTATGCAAATGATGCTCAAATGCAAACATTCTTCCTTAAAAACACGTCAAAATACAATTTTTGCGCCACAGGATGCTAAAGATCTCTAGTCCTGTTGTCATTCTATCCTTTTTCACTAAATTTTTTAGATAAAAATTCTATTTCTTAAAATTAACTGTTGTATGGGTCCAAATCACGTTCCCCATTGATCAAAGAGTAGAAGGTGTAGAAAGCATACATAAAAAGCATTTATTTATAGAAAAACATTAGATTTTTATACCAATGATCATTCTCTCAATCTTCAGAACCACTTCATTAAGAGTTTTGCTAACGGAGTACTTGGGTATAATCAAAAGTTCTGAGAACATAAAATAAAAATATAAAGATAAGGAAATAATTTTTATTTTATTTTATCAAATGTTGAAGATAATTGCCATTATTATTTATACCAAGTTCAATCCTTTCTAACAATTTGTTAAAAGTGTTTTTGCAGTCTTTTTCGAAAAAAATTTTAAATACCTTAGATACCGCATGAGCTAATCATATTTCATTTATTTAATCAATTAAACTACGTTCGATAGAATTAGTTAGCCAAAAATTACATAGTATCAGGTCTGGCCAATATGTTGGATATGACATTATATTGATACCTCTTCCTGCCACATAATTAATAACATTGGATGAGTATGAAGTCAACGATAATCGTCAAGCAATTTCATACATTTTGGCCCTGATATCTCTGTTTGTTTCCATATTTCATTAATAAAAGGCTTCGGACAATTTTCAATATAATACTTATGGTCTACAGTCTTGCCTTTATCTACACTGAGGACTATTTGATTTAAAGTATATACTAAACAAAGTTTTGGTTAAAATCTGTATTCATGAACAATAGTCTTTGACGATTCATCTTCAATAAGCCAGCTAACATTAGATGACTTATGACTAACCTATCTAAAATAAATCCATATCCCCTAACTAGTAGTGCTAGAATGCAACTAACATGATCGAACAAAATTTCACTAAATTTTTAAAACAAATGAAATATGATTAGCTCATGCGGTATCCAAGGTATTTAAAATTTTTTTCGAAAAAGACTGAAGAAAAAACTTTTAATAAATTGTTAGAAAGGATCGAACTTGGTATAAATAATAATGGCAATTATCGTCAACATTTGATAAAATAAAATTAAAAATATTTTCTTATCTTTATATTTTTATTTTATGTTCTTAGAACTTTTGGTCAGGCCTAAGTATATAGAATCTACAGTCCTTTGGTCTAAAATTTAGATTGAAATTTTGCATTTTTTCAGTTTCGGTCTTTTTTATTCTTTTTATTTTTTATATGTAATAGAAGGTATTTATTATATATAATACCTATGGCACTATAGAGGTAGTGACACTCTATAACCAACACTATATTAAATAGCGATATCTATTGAGAATTGAAATAATGACTCATATTATCCATAAGTAAGACTTTATCATATCTTGATTTTTTTATATATCTACACTGTGTTTCTTATATCTTGTATTGATTGAATATTTACCTAAACACAGTAGCTATCATTTGCCAATAGCATTTTGCTTAATTGTTTATAATTACTTTCTTATGATCAAAAATGGACATTGATCCTGACAATGCTGATTCTTATGGCAGTGATTGTGGTCACGGTGGTATTCGTCCAGGAGCTGGTCGTAAGAGGAAAATACGATCATCATCAATTGATATAATGACAGATGCAAGAAGAAAACATGCTGCACGTCGACAAGAAACAGATGAATTGAGAAAATGGATAAATGAATTAAAATGGTCGCATCAAGGTGTTCCATCGACTCGTCGTGATAATGCTACAGCATTGTTGGTTATATTTAATCTATTATTAGAAGATGATAATTTAACACAAACAGAAGCAATTGATACAGCTGGTCGATATTTAGGTCGTAGTGCTGCTGGTTTACGTGCATTGGTAGCACATTGGAATAAATATCAAGAGATATACGTTGAATCAGGTACAAGAGGCAGACCATTTGGTCAACAATCATCAGAATTATTTGTATCTTTACCTCATTTTGTTATGACAAGTATTATGGATCGTCATGCAGAAGGTAAAGCTACTACGGTTAAAGATATACAACAAGCAATTGTTGATACATATCAAGAATACATAGGCTATTGGCCGATATATTATCTTATGCATGATAAAATGAAATTATCATATGGCTTATTAAAAGACTCGGCCAAGTTAACAGAAGATGCTGATCGAATCAAACGTATTCGACAATTTCTGGTCAAATATGCCACTGCTCTGAATTTACAAAAGAATAAAGAAGCAGTAGTTTGTTATATGGATGAATCATATGTTAATACAGGTCATCATATGCATTATGGTTGGTATGCAGATGCAAATCGAAATATTCTTACTGGTACTGGTGTTGGTAAAAGACTTATAATAGTTCATGCTATTACCAATGATGGTCTTCTTCAACATTTCGATGCTTCAACAAACAAAACCATTTCTGCCGAATTGATATATGAAGCAAAAAATCCCACAGGCGATTTTCATTCTAATATGGATGGTTATAATTTTCGTCTATGGGTAGAACAATATTTGTTTCCTGCATTCGAAGCTAAATATGGTCATCAGAAACGAATGATTCTAATATTGGATAATGCTCCATACCATAAGGAACTAGGTAAAGGTTATATTAATGTCAAATCAATGTCAAAGATTGATATGATTAATCTTCTTATATCGAAAAACGTTCACAGTATAGTAATTCTTCGAAATGGACAAGCAAAAAAGTTCAAGAAGGACCAATGGAATATGAATGGTCCATCAGGTCCTTATAAAGAAGAGCTACGAGTATTTATCGAAAGTTGGATCAGACAGTATCCTGATCTTCAAAAAACGTTATTAGAGAAATTATTTGAACAAAAATCATTTGCTGCAAAAGCCAGTGTATCTGACTTTCATTATTTCATATTAACTCCACCATATAATCCTCAATTTCAGCCTATTGAATTAGTGTGGTCTTATGTAAAACGTTATGTTGCGAAACAATTCACGTCTTCTAGAACTGTTCAACAATTAATTGAACAAACAAAGAAAGGATTCTATGGTGATGGAGGTGATCCTGAAGGTATATCGACCGAAATGGTCAGAAACATGATTTCACATGCACATAAATACTGTGATATATCTATTAACAATGATCCTGAATTAGAAGGATCTATCGTCAATTTAAAGAATGTTAAAGATTATGAAGAAATTTATGAAAAAGAACAAGATGAAGATGATGATGATGATATCAATGTAGAAGAAGATGACGACAATTCAATAACTTATTAAATAAAAACATCGTTATCAGCATTTCTGAGCTTCATAGTTAGAGCATGTGATAAATATTATGAATGTTATTTTCCTACATAAACTAGTTCTTATCTATATATAAGAAATAAATTTGAAAAAATTTATCTTACATATTTTCTTTTGGCATTTTAATAAAACCAGCCTAGCAATATGCTACTAATATCACACCATTATATAGTGTATGGTGTCCTCGACCAAACATAAAGGTATGATGATAAAATTATAGAGATTCATTACAAAAGGAGTGATCAAACAAACATCTCTCAACTTGAGTTTGATGCTAAAGGATTGTAGAGTCACCACCATTGTCAGGATCAATGTCCATTTTTGATCATAAGAAAGTAATTATAAACAATTAAGCAAAATGCTATTGGCAAATGATAGCTACTGTGTTTAGGTAAATATTCAATCAATACAAGATATAAGAAACACAGTGTAGATATATAAAAAAATCAAGATATGATAAAGTCTTACTTATGGATAATATGAGTCATTATTTCAATTCTCAATAGATATCGCTATTTAATATAGTGTTGGTTATAGAGTGTCACTACCTCTATAGTGCCATAGGTATTATATATAATAAATACCTTCTATTACATATAAAAAATAAAAAGAATAAAAAAGACCGAAACTGAAAAAATGCAAAATTTCAATCTAAATTTTAGACCAAAGGACTGTAATAATAAGCATGCTACTCATTTTGCTATCTCACTTGCATTCGTGACTGAGAATATTGATCAATTTGGGTGGCATCGCCAGCACGTGTTCGATTGTTTATTGATTTACCAAAATTTTGACTAATACTTTGTTTGGCAGATTTATCCTGAGTTGTTGCAGAGACATCCTGGGGGAGGGAGGGTTCACTTCTCCTATGTTTCCTCTGCCCAATTTCCTCCTCCTCCTTCCCTTCCATTGCGGCAGTCTGGGGTTTACCTTGATAATAACGCGCAGCCAAAATCGTTGGCGTCTATTTGCACAAAGAAAATATGAATAATGAAAGATTCTAAGAATATAATCGGGAACAAAATGTCTTCAGTATTGGCAGACTGATTGCTCGTCGGATGGATAATATTTTTTGGTGATCGGATGGTTATATGAATAACAGAAGAAGCTCGCATATCTTTTGTCAATGAATGATTATACTAGATTGAATGACTCATAAGAAGAGAGATAGAAACTGCAATGGTGAATTATGCACTTGATGAGAACCTTTACCGACAGATGGTACCGATAGCTGAAGATAACACAGAATATTGTACGGATCTGCAAGTATAGCTAACAATACTGGATAAAAATGATTATCCTATGTTTTGCTATGTTTATCGACTTGATCTTGATGTTAGTGTGTGATTGTTTTCGACAAGAAAATGAGCGTTTGTATTTCACTTTACTGATGCATCGTCGTATTATATATTTCAGGTAGGAGAACAAAGGCTTCTTGTGTATAGATAGGAGGTACTCAGATTTCATCAAATAAATTTATTAACAAAAAAAAAATGAATTAAGATATTTTTATTTTTTTTACATCTAACACAAAGCCATAAATTTCGTATAAATAAAATTGCTGCATAAGTGAGTGAATTAAAAATGCCACTCATCCTCCCCCTCGCCCCTCCCTTTTCTTGAAATCTCACTGACAATACTCAGATATTTTTACTTCTGTATGCAACACGCAAAGAAAAATCGTAAGCCTTGTATCACCTCAAATCACTAGTCTTTTTATCTTGTGTGACTTGCTGTAGGAAACCTGTAGGTGATAATTGAAATCATATGGTAGTGTATTTGAACAGTGAGGAGCCAAATCAGTCTATGGTTTTCCGATTTAAAACTGAAATCGAAAATAGATATTCACAAATAGTTTTCAATAGCAGGATAGAATCAATGGAACTTTCTTTCAATTGAAATATGTAAGCATTTTATTTCTCAATGCAAACATTGTAATTAAACTCAAGGATTGTAAACGAGCTTGAACATTAGTATCCTGTGATGATATTCTTTGAAAATCAATCAGAAATCTACCGCGCCAATAATCCGTTGCCGATCATTTTGACTTCGATTTATTTGTTGTATAAAGCAAAAAGAAAAAATAATTAAATCGAAAGAATCGCTTCCTTTTTGGCTTCTTATTCAATGCAACATACAACTCAACCTTCGGAATAGTAAATAAGCGTCCGCGTCAATAATAAAATACAGAATTGTATTGAAATTGAATTGCGTTTGACATACTAGGGTCTAGGGAAGAAATTGAACAAACGAAAAAAACTAGTCTTACCAGTTTTTGGCTCTTTACTAGACTAACATCTCAGCTAAGAGAAGGTGTGCGGGTGTGAATGATAGATATAAGTGCACTCACACCCACATCCTCGTTGTACCAAACCGGAAATTGCACATTTTATACAGTCAAAATTATTTATATGAGATTCGTTTTCTTGACTCGTTTAGTTATTCGTATCTAGTTTTTACTCTGGATCTGTTGTAGAGAGTTATAGGAAAAAAACGACGAGTAGTACAATCAATGTTATCAGCACTATCTCTCACTTGACTATTTCTTTGATCGATCGTGCGCGTAGCATACCCTTCCCCGCTGTCATATTCATTCGAATCCATTGCCGTCATGCCGAAATTAAATAAATGTTCTACGTATCGTACAATCGTCCGAATGCTGCCTTCAGTACGTAAAAATTCAAGAATTAACAAAGAAAGGATCAAAGAACTCAATAGCATGCTTCGTTCTATTTTCAAGAAGTTCTAAGGGTTAAAAGAAATGACAATGAATTATTCTCGTCATCAGTGATGGAATCAGAAAAAATGCCTAGGAAGAGTGCATAGCTAACGTCCCAATCCAAGGGAGGATATTTTTTCGCTGTCTACTGAAAAATAATGCCGAGTTAATGGTGTTTTGCGACATCGTTCTTCATCTTATCGATGCTCTCGCTGTCGACATTTCATAGAATTGCATCGACGAGACGAATGCGTCATTGTTCAGGCTACGCGAAGAAAATTCAGAAAAAGAATTTAATAGAGCAAGCAAAATAAGGCAGAACACGTCAAAGTCACATATTTTGTTTTCTTCCGTGAAATTTACGCTAACGACATTTGAGGAAAAAGATATTATACTTTATCGTGATACTTTTCTTTGGCAGTATAAACAAGGCCTGTCAAAATCGAATTGATATACCTACTGCTTTTGTAGTTATACCGAATAATGACGACATTGGATATTCAGGTAAAAGATACATTTAGGAAAAAAGAACGAACTAATGTCGATTTTGTTTGCTGTTAAACTCAGTAGGCAAAAGTCCAGATGCATTGAATAATCTTATCGGAAACATTGCGATTGAGACAGATGATCAAAATTTAAATCTTCAAGCGTCGAATGCGAGCTTACAGACTGAATTGACAACATAGCAGTCTAACATTGACGTTCATCAGCATCAACGACGTCGTCGACGACGAAATTAACAGTAATTTGAGAGACAATTTCATATATGATGATTAATTTGAATTTCCAAGAAATTCAAATAACACATCACCTCACCATATTTGTCGAATCGAGATTCAATTGCTACTGTTAATATTATTTTCAAAGAAGATATTGGAACACAAGGTCGTGGCGGTTATTTCGATGAATTCGGAATTGTCCGGTAGGATATACTTCTTTTTCCAACATTTTCACCTCAAGAAAGTCAACTGATCAAAGATTAAAACTAATCGTACCATTGGCGGGGCCGATCTGAGAGGATCATACCAGACCAATCGGTCTACTGGTTACCCACCGGTCTAAAATTTTTAGCAGTACTCATTCTATCTTTTCATAGTGAAAATTAGGGTAGTTAACTTCTACTATAATTGCCTGATTGTATTTCGGATTAGATAGCATTAAAATCTAAAAGTTCTGAAGAGTTTTATGCAATACAAATAGAAAAAATAACGCAGACCAGTAACCGGTACCGATTTCATCTCTGAATCGAACAGTATTCAGATTTTGAGAAGGTTAATTCCTACTTATTTCATCAAAATTCTGGGCTGATCTTAAATAGATGAAAAAAAAGCATTTAATGCAAATTTTATCAATTGTTGCATTGGAAAAATCTTGTTCAACCAAAGGTGAAGATATTCGTGATGAAAAAGTGAAAGTTTTACGTTGTATAAGTCCAATTAAAATGGAAGATGTTGTTCTTGGACAATATATTGATAAATCAGATTCTTCTGATAATGAATACCGACAAGGTTATCTCGATAATCCAGGTGTATCTAAGGATTCTAAAACACCAACCTATAATACTCAAGTTGTCTTATTGATTAACAATGAACGTTGAGTTGGTGTTCCTTTTATTCTTCGAGCAGGTTTTATTCATACTCTTTTTCATAGAAGACACTTCGATTGACTTTTCTCTCAGTAAAGCATTAAATGAAAAGAAAATTAAAATGCGTATACAATTTCGTGATGGACCTGGAAGTATGTTTGCTGAAGAAATTCATCATGATAATCTGCATAATTCTTTAGCTCCTGATGAATTGCTTCTTCGTGTTCAACTAAATTAAGCAATTTATTTACAATTAAAGACAAAATGACCCGATGAAATGGATTTTAGTATTGAAGAAACAGAATTAAATTTAACTTATGGTGAAAAATATAAAGGTGTCAAATTATCAAATGCTTATGAACATTTAATTCTTGATGTATTTATGGATTCAAAAATAAATTTCGTTCGTTCAGATGAATTACAAGAAGCTTGACGAATTGTCTATCCAATTCTAGCTGAAATTGATAAGAAAACTCGACCAATCATTTCATATAGATTTGGTAGTTTTGGAATACGAAAAGCTTTTGATATGGTTGTTAAATATGGATATATCTTTCGTGTAACATATGTTTAGAACGATAAACGATCAACATCATTAAGCCTCTCTCCCTCCCCCCACGCAAAAAAAGTCAATTTTCGTCAGAATTTTCGAAATCGAAATAAATGCATGGGCAGATAGCCCGTCTTCAGATCTTTCAGATATGATATGATTTTTTTTATCGAACGCCCCTTTTTTGGCTTAAAATTTGAATGATTTCTGTAGTCTGCTGCGTGAAAAACGTGATTTTTCCTGGAAAAAATGGATTTTGAGGTTTTTGCAGAGAAAATAAGTACTTTCGCATATGCTTTCTTCTTCGGCATTATTTTCAAGATCACTACGTTGAAATATAAAACTTTAATACTATAATAAATAAAATACTAAAAAAACAACACTTGTCCATGACAATGAGGTTTTAAACTTGCTTGTAACCCTTTGAATACTTCATGTCATCTCCTAGAAGACATATATAACGAAAAAACAAAGATGTCGCTATTGAAAGAGTTGAAAACACGTTGATAAAACTATACATACGTAGCGAAAACAAACAGAACACGAACCATTATATATGCTTTGCATACGACTAGACCTCGATTGAGATCAAAAAAAGAGCGAAGAAGAATAACAGAAAGAGAAATATGGAAAATTATATGATTCAGTACAACCAAGATAGATTATCTCAATCTGCCATTTATGACATTATTTTTGTGTGTTCTTTCTCTTTGTCACCAGCTCGCTCATTCGCTTACTCTTTCTTCCTATCATGTCCATTTTTACAAACCATGAGTAATGCTTTAGTCATCTAAACGCCATGAAATGTTTATTATGAATATAATCTATAAAAAAAAAGAAGATCGAGGCAATGTACAATTGTTCGTAGCACAACGTTTTGGACCAAGTCCAATGTGATAATGTCGTAGAAGATAGAACTACTTATGTAATGATACTCAACAAGCCACGAAGAAGAAGTCTATTTATATATTATAAAGATATGACAGTTGGTGATTATTCTCTTCAAATATGCCAAAAAAACGTCGGAAAGTACAAAAATCTTGAAAAATTTCAGTTCAAAAAATCTTTTTCGATTTTGCTTCCAAGATTTCTCGGTCCAGGCTCTGGCAATATATTTGAATTTATTTTTGTTTGAAAGAGCGCGCGACATGCAGGGCATCATAGAGTCCTTTTTTTTAAATTAAGCTTGAACACCTATTTTTGGCATGTTTGTTGAGTCATTGAACTTGTGATCCCCTTTTTTCGCTAAAAAAAGTAAGAATTAAAAAAAAGGACTCTGAAGTGTCCTGCATCCTGAGATGCTCTTTCAAACAAAAAAAAAATTAAACGTATTGATAGAGTCCAGATCAAGAAATTTTGGAAGCAAAATGAGCTATTTTTGACCCTTGTTTAGGTCATATCTCTGTCAAACGTCAGGATATCGAGTTGAAAATTTTACCACAGCCTCCTCACTTCAGCCCCAACATATGCTCCGAATTTCAGTCCACTTGAACGCATCTGAGCTGAGATCGATTTTTGGGTGAGAGAAGGCCTTAACAAGCTCACAAAAAGATAAAGAACAGAATAAATCTGGATCACCATTAAACAAAAAAGTAATATTTCTCTCATTGAACTTTCATCTGACTTTTCTTTTTTTTCTCGTCATGTATCTACCCACTTCGCAAACATTCATTCTGTTTTTAGTTTTTACAATTCCATGATATAGCAAATAAAGATCATTATTTATTTATTTCCAATTCTTCTTCCAGGAGAGAACTAAAACAGTATTTCCACCTTTGACTTCTACAATAATACATTCACTTTACTCAACCAATGCGTAACTGTCCTTACCTTATACTGTTCTTCTCATCAATTTTGTTCGAATAGAAACTTGAGTAAATTGTCTTTTAGATAAATTTTTTGCTATTTGTCGGACTAAAAGTATGGCAGATAGAACTAAACTTGCAAAAATAGCGGATGTAGAACGAGAAACACAGTATGGCTATGTCTTTCGAGTATGTGGCCCAGGTAATGAACATAGATGAATTGTCATTCAGTGGAATAGTTCTTGTTTTCTAGTGATAATGGCCAATCATATGGCTGGTGCAGCAATTAACGAATTAGTAAAATGATATATTTTCTATAATTTCAATAAATAATTTAATTATGTTGTAATAGGTCCGAGTAGGTCATGAAGAATTAGTTGGAGAAATAATTCGTTTGGAAAACGATTTAGTAACAATTCAAATGTACGAAGAAATATGTATAGATATATTTTCATTGAGTATGAATATGTTCAAATGACATTGTATTTGTTTAGCTGGTATTACCATTGGAGATCCTGTTCTGCGAACGGGCAAACCTTTATCCATCGAACTTGGTCCAGGCATAATGTCCAATATTTTCGATGGTAATATATCAACTAGTTCCCAAATAAGGAAATGTTTACCGTATCTGTATCAGATTAAACTGTTAATTTTCTTTGCAAAGAGTTGAAATCTGAATCCTGTCTTAATAAAAATACTCAGAGTAAAGATGAAAGATACTGTTAGTTTAACAATCTAGCCGAAGTGAATAATCATTAATGGAATCTACATGTATATGAATGATAGGTATTCAACGACCTCTTGCAATGATTTCTGATTATACAAAAAGTATCTATATTCCACGTGCTATCAATGGTCCCTCTTTAAATCGTTCGACATTATGGCATTTTACTCCTGAAAATCGCATTCAAGTAGGTTTGTTTTTTATTGTCTATAATTAATAAAGTTTAAATTCATTTGAAATTCAGATTGGTAGTCATATTACTGGTGGAGATATATTTGGTATAGTACCAGAAAATCAAATGATTCAACATCGATTAATGCTTCATCCAAAAGCAAAAGGAACTGTGACTTATATTGCATCAGAAGGCAATTATACCCTTGAAGTATGTTCAATTAATTGATTTTTTTCAATTTTCATCGATTTAATTTATGATTGTACATAGGATGTTATTCTGGAAACTGAATTGAATGGAGAAAAAAGTGAACATACAATGGTTCAAATTTGGCCAATTCGACAAATGCGACCTGTGACTGAAAAACTTGTCCCTAATCATCCATTATTAATGGGTCAACGTGTTTTAGATTCATTATTTCCGTATATTTCGATGAACGATTGAATTTACAATAGAAATAATTCTATTTATATCTATAGATGTGTTCAAGGTGGCACAATAGCTATTCCAAATGCTTTTAGTTGCGGAAAAGGAGCTATTACTCAATCATTATCAAAATATTCTAATAGTGATGCCATGGTTTATGTTGGATGTGGAGAACGTGGAAATGAAATGGTTGAAGTTTTACAAGATTTTCCACAAGTTAGATCATTGATCGATTTAGCTTTTTTTCTTATTATCGAAGATCTTTTCTAGTTAAAAATGGAAGTAGAAGGAAAAGAAGTATCGATTATGGAACGAACAACATTAGTAGCCAATACAACCAATATGCCAGTTGCTGTACGTGAAGCTTCCATTTATACAGGTTTGTTCGTCTTATTTTTAATAATATATATCACAATATTTCAATAAAAAACCAAGTTCCAAAATGCATAAACTGCAAATTTGAAGCTCACTTACTCATTCATCTTTTACAATTAACTTTGGCCTATATTCTCTGATTTGTAGCAGTAAGACTTCTTCGATTGGAATCGTAGTAGGAGAATAATATGTGATGTTGGATAGATATGCTACATGGAATGCTAAAGACATCACCCTTACCCTCAGACTTATCATCTAAGTTTCACATGTCGAGTTTACTTATTTTCAGGTGTAACACTGTCGGAATATTTTCGTGATATGGGTTATAATGTTACACTGATGGCTGATTCGACCTCACGTTGGGTCGAAGCTTTGCGTGAAATTTCTATTGGTTTAGCTGAAATGCCTGGTGGTTTGTTCTTTTGTAATCCTATTTATATATTATCTTATGTTTACTTTTGATAGATTCTGGTTATCCAGCTTATCTCGGTACACGTTTAGCGTCATTTTATGACCGTGCTGGTCATGTTCGATGTTTAGGTAATCCAGAACGTGAAGGTTCTGTGAGCATTGTTGGGACGTAAGTATCTTTAAATGAGCTGAATGAAATGATCGATACTTTATTGTAGAGTATCTCCGCCCGGTAGTGATTTCACTGATCCATTAGCAGCAATAACATTAAGTACTGTTCAAGTATTTTGGGCTTTAGATAAGAAATTAGCACAACGTAAACATTTCCCATTGGTCAATTGGTTTATTTCATATAGTAAATATACACATGTTCTTGATGATTATTATGAGAAAAATTTTCCTGAATTTGTTCCATTACGCATGAAGGTAAACAACTAAGAAATAAGATTTCTTTTAAACATAGAAATTCAAATAAAACTATTGATAATTTAGTGTAAAGAAATGTTAGAAGAAGAAAAAAGTCTTTCTGACATTGTTCAATTAGTGGGAAAATCATCATTATCTGAAACAGATAAAATTACATTGGAAATTGTTCGTATAATTAAAGAAGATTTTCTTCAACAAAATATATTTTCATCTTATGATAGGCAAGATGATATTTATTGATTAATATTCATCAAAAATTTTTTTTTCTCATTATTTGAAGATATTGTCCATTTTATAAATGTGTAGCTATGCTACGTAATATCATCGCTTTCTATGATTTATCTCGTCATGCCGTTGAAACAACAGCTCAGTCGAAAAAGAAAATAACTTGGAATGATATTCGAACTAATTTAGGTGATATTCTTCATCAATTAAGTTGTATGAAGTTTAAGGTATCAAAATATTGAAATTTCTCTATTGAATTTCATTGATGAATTAATGTGTTGTTTTAGGATCCAACGAAGGATACTGAAGAAAAGATCAAACGTGATTTTGAAGAGTTAAATGAACGAATGCAAGCAGCTTTTCGTGATATGGAAGAAAGATAAAGTTTTTTGTTCTCTACAAACGTTTTCTCAATATTGAATACAGTAATATTATTTCTATTCAAGAGCAATTGATCATTTCATTGTAATAATTTTATTTTTCCAAATTAAATTCTATTCGAAGGAATTTTATTTTCTTCAAAGATCTCTCCTTCAGATAATGAGAAGTTGATTGATGAAATACGCTTAATTCATTTGAATGTGCAGAAATGTACAAGAATTCGACCTGTATTCTTGGAATAACCTTTACAATGACGATATTCAAAAGTATTTCTCTCTCTCTTCGCACGAAGATATTCCAATGTGAGAATGTCATTGATAGTCGTTGGTAGCAGGAAGTGATGCACATGATATTTATTTTCTTTTTTTTTTGTTTTCATTCTCAACTAAATGATATATTGATGAAAAGCTAAAATTTCAATGATGATATCTCTTTGTTTTTTCTTTTCTTCAATTCTACAAGAAGGATGAAATTGTTCACCAGATTCTATATGTGTCGGTATTGAAAATAATCGATTGATTTGTTTGTGTCCATTTCGCAAATCTAGTTCACGATGTTTTCTTCGGTCTGTTTGTCAAGACAGTCCATGTCAGAATGATGATCACTGTGTATCAGAAGACAAACGATTACTGATGAACAGTTTCACATGTATCTGTCTACCAGGCTATTCTGGAAAAGTTTGTGAAGTAAGAGATACACGCATTGATATGTCGTTTCATGACACAGAAATTCCTCAATCTTTGCTAATTCATTTTATCACCGTACAATCAGGTTCTAATCCACTAATTACGATAACGTTGAAGAAGATTCCTTCCGATCAAGATACGACGACTCTCTCTATATATCAATGATCTCCAATCTGATTTTTGTTCGAATTCTCACCGATTTCTCTCTTGTTTTTCTACAAGTTAATGATACACGTTTAGCTCATGTTAGACATGCGATGAAGTCTTTTCAACACTGTTCTCCCATTCACAAGCTGCTCAATAAACGAACATTTGCCTTTCCTCTGTTACGCCGAGTTAAATACTAGGGTGTGGATACGGATGTGTGTGCGTGTGAATTTACATTGCCCGTAGCCCCACCCATACCCACACTCTCACACCCACATCCACACCCACACCATCACAGTGTATTCGTTCGATCATCCTAATCTAGCTTCATGTTCACTTTTCTACTGTAAACTTCGTGTCTATATTATTAGTATATTCGTACAACTATCTCGAACATGTATTCTACTTGCATTTATCGATCGTCTATGGTCATGTTCATCGACAGTTAGATGACGTCGATTGTGTTGTGTTCGCATAGCCTATCATCTCATAATTCTTGCTACGGTTTTCTGGTTTGTGTTGCCTGTTTATACACTTATCTACTATACGATTGACAGTCGAACTTTGAAATGTAGTATTGTTGATACGATTGGAAAACTATACGATTTTGTGTTTTTACTTATTTGGAGCGGTTTTGTACCACCACTTGTCATGGTCGTATGCGGCTTTCTGACATATCGTAAACTCAAAATTAGTACACGCCAAGTTCATACGCTCACAACTACATTGACACGACTCCATCGTCGAGATCGACACTTATTACATATGTTGAGTGTCAAAGCACTCGTCTACCTTCTTTCAACTTTTCTTTATCCAGTCAATTTACTCTATAATAATATAACAGAAATGACAACTAAAACTCAATTACGATCGAGTATCGAACGCCTTCTCACATTCTTTCTTACATCATTTTTACCGTATACATTTAATGCAACTTCTTTCTATCTGTATACATTATCGGAAAAAATATTTTGGCAAGAATTTAAAAATTTATTAGTGAAAATCGTTAGTCGATGTTGTGCTGCACGTTGGCATCGTACAGTCGGTATTACGTCGACTACAACGATGGGCATACTTGCCTCCAATGAAAGACAATGAGTCTAATATTCGACCAAAGATGACTTTTTTTTCACTGTTTTTCGTGTTCGTTCAAGAAATCATGCTTGAGTTTAATGCTGGTTTTGATTGTTTATGGGTGTGGATGTGGTTGTGGTTGTGACTGTGAATTTACATTATTCGTAGCCATACCCACACTCGCACCCTTTTTGATGGAAAATAAAGGTACTCAGAAGTTTTTGGAAATTGTATGCATCGACCCAACTTTTGGTGCTGATTTCAAATATGTCATTCATTTTAACCAAAACTAGTAAAAATGCTAATGTTTTCATATCTCTAAGCATTGCAGCTCATTTTAGGTACTCTGGAATAAGTCGAAATCAAATGAATTATATATCAGTTTGTAGAGCATCCTTTGCTCTATTGAATGGTATATAAGCGAAAGCGGCTCGCATGGAAAAAAATCCGAACGAATCCAATTGATGTTAGAGGGTTTGCAAAAAAATCATATTCAATAGAAAAGTAGTATTACTCTTATCCTTAATAATATCCTCAATAGTTCGTAAAAAAGATAATCGTTCTCATACAAAACGATGCAGAATTTAATGCTCTTTCTAATCAAGACAAATTGGGTTTACAATATTTTCGAAACTTTGTACATTCTGGTCAAATACTGGAACAACAGAAATACACTCAGAACTACCAAAAGTCCTGTCAGATGTCAATGATTTTTTTATAATGTTTTAGTATTAAAGTAACCTTGAATATCCAAAATTTTACTTAAAGTTGATCCCAGAAAACTCGTTTCACTTTTCTGCATAGGATTACTGATGAAATATCTACAAACGGTTAGTGACCCAAATTGCATTGTTTATACGCCTCCATCCTTTATAGTTTTGCCTTGTTCAATTTCAAAATTCGAAGAAAAAACAATGTGATGTTCAAGTTTTTTGCTCTCTGATCAATTAGAAATAAACGCTAGTTGTTACCCGTACTGAACGATATTTATTAGAAGTGTTATTAGTTTTCGCGCGAAACAGAGTCAATACAAATAGCAGGACACAAGTATTTGTCCTAGCAGCTAATCATTCAGCGATCTTAAACAAAGTTTGATCAACATGATAGATTCAAATCCTGGTTTGATTCGATTAAGAATTTCACTGTTGACTAAAACTCTTATTTCTTCTTTGCAAAACTTTGATTCTAAAAGCCAAATTGAAGCCGTCACGAGAATTTCATTATGATGAGAAATTTATCAACTGTGTGCAGATTTGAATCAAAAATGTTCTGTTGTTTATCCAACAGCCTAGATGGGAAGTCGAAACTGCATTCGAGGTTTTGTTCTTGTTACGCGAATGAGAACTGACAAATAAATACAACGTTCATCGATGCCCATCTGGGTGTGGGTGTGGAGTGGGATGTGGATGTGGGTGTGGGGTGTGGGGTGGGATGTGGGTGTGGGTGTGGGGTGTGGGGTGGGTGTGGGGTGGGATGTGGGGTGTGGGTGTGGGGTGGGATGTGGATGTGGGTGTGGGAAGTGGGGTGTGGGGTGGGATGTGGGTGTGGGTGTGGTTGTGGGTGTAACCAAATGATTCACACCCACACTCACCCACACTTACATCCACGCTCACACCCATCGATATCCACACCCATACCCACCCACACCCACATCCACACCCACACCCACACACCCACACACCCACACCCACACCCACACCCACACCCACACCCACACCCACCCACACCCACACCCACAC